TGAATCCAGATCACACAACTAACTATACAGTGTCCAGCAAAGCATTGCTTTACATTTTTCCAAACAGCTGCTTCCAAGTCTCTCAGCTCAGCTTCCCTGAACTTCCTGTCCAGAACAAGATCACAAGGGACAGAGCAGACTCCAGCAACTGATCATCTACTAGCTTGGAGGAAGGAGGAGAGGGGGCCAGGGGGAAGGGAGTACCTTGATTTGCTGTGTGGAAATTCGCATTCGGACACATTTGGATGCATTGGGATTCGGAAATTTCGGTGTGTTTGTCCAAATTTTGATTGGGAATGAAAGGACTCTCACATGTCTACACTGGAACAGACAGCTTTCCTATACCTGCAATGCCCTCATTGCTTGTACAGGAGTAACAGTGACAAGCAGTGAAGGAAGATATTCCCCAATGGGTCAGGGAAACAGTAACAATCGTTCTCAGCAATGCATTTCAGATTTTCAATATATCCCCTGAGACTGCTCAGCCGAGTACTGTCTGTGGTTTTCCATTCTGATCTCCATGACTGGCTTATCAAATCCTAGTGAATAGACACATCCAGACCATTAGCTACTTTGCTCCATAGACAGTCAGCTCTTCTGAATTTCATTAGCCCTGTTATTATGTTTTGTGTCAACACGAGGGATGCACCGATACCGATACTAGTATCAGTATTTGTGCCGAGTATTTGGGCGACTACTCGAACTCGCCCAAATGCTCTGATACCCGAGCTTTCGTTATCAGGAAGCTGGACCGCGAGTCATTACACGCTGCCTGTCTTCCTGATTGGCCTGGACGCCGGCTTTATGCTCCCTCGTCAACGAGGGAGCATGGAGCCGGCTTCTCGGCCAATCAGGAAGCAGGGTGCTGCGTCATTACACGGCACCCGGCTTCCTGATTGGCAAAAAAAAGCCGGCTCCATGCTTTCTCGTCATCAAGTGATGAGAAGCATGGGGGGCGGCTTCCCGGCGAATCAGGAAGCTGGGTGGCGAGTCATTACACGCCGCCTGGCTTCCTTAATGGGATTTACGGTATAGGTAAGTACCAAAAATTATTTTTTTTAAATCGGTACTCGTACTCGATACCAAAAAAATGCTATCGGTGCATCCCTAGTCAACACAGTCACATTCAGTTTTGTCTGCTGCCTGTCTATCTCACACCAATGTTTTTATCTTTTGGAATATCAGAGTCGACTTTGGATAAAATTGTCGTAGACGCCATGTTAGTGTAAATAAAAATGCATTGCATATATTACTTGGCTAATGGTACACAGAGGGGAATTAAAAGGTTTTCAATTATATTGTAGATTATGGATCAGCTTTAAATCAAGCCTTCACTGACCCCTGGAGCTGCAGGCGCTGAGGAGTAATTCATCCTCAAGGTTTTACAGCAGGTGCACTTTCACTTTGATTTCAGCAGCTCAGCTCTTGCTGCTCCCCTCACACTTGGTAGCCTGCCAGTCTTCTAATAATAAAGGTCCCATTTACGATTTCACGGTTCACTGCCAGCGTGCTGCACTAAGGTAGTGCCTTTATTACGAATGTGTTACCAGCGCACCTAAATGGATGAATGAATGGACATGTTCCTTTTTTGCCTATACACTGCAGCGCACTGGGTGCCAGTTACAATGAAAACATACATAGAGCCGTGCTTGGCCGCACATTTTACCGCAAAGCATAGTGTAGGTGTAAATGGGCTCCCATGTATAGACAGAGCAGGCGCACATGAAGAAAGGAGAGCAGGCACAGGGCTTATTGGATATAGCTGCTTCTTGTGAAATTGGATGATGAATTGCTCCACAGTGCATGCAGCTACAGAGGTCAATGAGGGATTGTTTTAAAGCTCAATTACTGCCTGTTAAGAACATGTAAATACTTAAATGTCCATAGCCTGGTCACAGGTTAACCTAAAGGCTAGAAGTGCCCATAGACATTAGATGAGGGCCCCCATAATCCCTGAGAGGCTCCTACATACATTACAGGTCAAGGCAACTTGGAGTAAACAGTAATTGGACAGGATTAGGAACTCAATGCACTCATTCAGCTACTCTCCAAAAATGCTCTGTAAATATTGGTTTTCTGGAAGTTTGCATGTCTGCTGGTCAAATGTTCTTAAGCTATTGTTTTAGGACTGAATGATTTTGGGGTATTAGGGAATGTTACATTTGCTGTTATGTTCTTAGGCTATTGTTCTAGGCTATTTTCTCTTCTGGTGGAATGGTTTTAGGCTATTTTCTGGTTGAATGTCCTTGGGCTATGGTTTTAGGCTATTTCCTCTTAGCATCGAATGCTCTTAGGCTATTCTTTCTTCTGGTAGAATGCTCTTGGGGTTCGTTCACACCATAGGCAGTGCGTTCCAGTCAGAATCCGGACCGGAGTGCACTGCCCGCATTGCGGCCGGCTCATTTTTTTGCCGGGCTGTAGGGGGCATGGCTGGAGTGTATGGCACCGTAGCCACGCCTTGCGGCCGCAATGCGTTCGCCCGCATGGGATCTCAAGGCACATTGTGCCTGCAGTGCGTTCTGGTGCTCTTAGGCTATTCTTTCTTCCGGTAGAATGCTCTTAGGCTATTCTTTCTTCTTGTAGAATGCTCTTAGGCTATTCTTTCTTCTGGTAGAATGCTCTTAGGCTATTCTTTCTTCTGGTAGAATGCTCTTAGGCTATTCCTTCTTCTTGTAGAATGCGCTTAGGCTATTCTTTCTTCCGGTAGAATGCTCTTAGGCTATTCTTTCTTCTTGTAGAATGCTCTTAGGCTATTCTTTCTTCTGGTAGAATGCTCTTAGGCTATTCTTTCTTCCGATAGAATGCTCTTAGGCTATTCTTTCTTCCGGTAGAATGCTCTTAGGCTATTCTTTCTTCCGGTAGAATGCTCTTAGGCTATTGTTGTAGGCAATTTTCTCCTAGGATCGAATGTCTCTGCGCTATTAGGGAATGTCACATTCACCTTGTGAAAGACAACCTAAATATAAAATAATAACATTGTGCACCAATGAAAACATGCCCAATCTAATGTTGGATAGATAGACCCCGGGGTCAGGTCACAGTCCACGGATGGCTCACCTGATGGTATGACGCCTCCCCCTCACCACACGATAGGCTGCAGAATCTTTTACTCCAGCAGATGAGCAGCACTATCACCAAACGGGTTGGCCAAGCGAGGGAGTGATGCTGTAGTAGCAGTGAGTGTTCTCTAATCCCAGTAATCCTGTGGCCGGGGAGATACCGCCAGTGACAGGAATGCAAAGGGTGACACGTTCTTAAAGGGAAAGTTCGCCTTTAAGAAGACAAATAATAAAAGCGTCTTCCTAAAAGAAAACAATGTGCATTCATGTGCCACTGTGATGAGTGGAGGTCGGGTGCCATGCTCTGCCTCGTGCAGATTCTCCCTCCTGTCCATGTCCTACCTGGGTACAGACATTCAGTAACATGGACCAGATGAACAACGAATGGATTACAAGCGTGGTGATGTCACTGCTCTTGTATTCCATTCAGAAACACAAGTCCCTCTGTCGCGGTGGCTGATGGGAGTTGTAGTTTCTCCAGTCACAGATCCCGTCAAAGGCTCTTCACACACAGAGGCGCACTGATTTCATAAGTATAAAGCGGAACTCCAGGAAGCTTAAAAAAATTAACCCTTGCAGTGAGGCTACCCCGGTACTGCAAGGGTTAAGTGCTTGTTTTGGTCTAGGGAGGAAAATAACGAAAATATACTCACCCGATCTTCGGCCCTGCCTGGCTGCTGGACCGGTCCCTGCAGCCTCTTCTTCCCCAGGCTCCAGTGTTCTAAGGACCCGGGAAAGTGATATTAAAGTCAAAATGATTTGAATCTATTTCAAATGCCGATTAAATCCTTACAGTGGATGCGACTTCTTGATGTATAAAAGTTTCAGCTTCCTGCAGAATCAGCTGGTCCCCTGAGCACTGGTCCTGACTTCCTGTCTTAGAGTGACTCCTTTCTCATGCAGAGTGCTGTGCAGTCTCCCTTGTGTGTGCCAGTAAGCCATGTGTGTCTCCACAAACACAGCAAATCAAGCTACTCCCCTCCCCCCTGGCCCCCTCTCCTCCAAGCTAGTAGATGAACAGTTGCCGGAGTCTGCGCTGTCCCTTGTGATCTTGTACTGGACAGGAAGTTCAGGGAAGCTGAGCTGAGAGACTTGGAAGCAGCTGTTCAGAAACATGATGATTGTAAGTGTCTGGGCAATGTATGCTTGTTTGATCTGGATACATTATTGTAGAACTACAAGTCCCAAGACTCTGACATCCACAGGCATGACTCCCAGAGGCATGATGGGATTTGTAGTTTCACCACATCTGGCGTACCCCTGCCTTTAGGTACTCTGGACGGGCCCTGAGGAAGGAAGCTGTTCTGAGAAAATAAAGAAGCGAGCGGATCCCTGTCTGCAAATACCAGTGCCCGGCTGTCAGTACTTCCTAAGACACTGACCTGGACTGAAATCGGAGTTGTCTGAATACTTGTTCCGAGTCTGTGATTCAGGGAGCACTGAAGCCATCGGATGAACTTGACAGACATAAAACTAGCGTTGTCAGCAGTGTCAGTCTTGGTTATCTGTGCTGCCCACATTCAGAGTGAGATCACACGATGTGAGAAGACGCGGCTCGCCGTGCGTTCAATCTGAAAGTGTCTATCACTGGAGATCTGTGACTCATCACCTTTCCTGTGTCACCGTCTCAAAGGTCTGACAGTGGTGTCACCGTTCATAGAAGTCATGGTATGCCACAAGCCTGCGGTGTGCAAAGTCACGATCCCTGCTCCGTGTTGTGACAACCGCACACATCATCGCCATCTGTGGGGGGGGGAGTCTGACCCTATAAGACATACAACGTGCTGACCCATCCGGCATGATCACTACACACCGGCTATGTACTAAGAGTAAGGCTCCCAGTGCTATGATCTATACAGTACAGGAAGTCACATGGTACAATCACACACACACAGCCAGTAGGTGACCCCCCCAATACACATACACTGCACCCGACATTACCTGTTATCCCAGTTCCCAGCAGAGTGTAACCTCTTCCGTCCTTGCATGCAGCTCACACCCCAACCAGTGACACTGCAGCACACTGGCACCGCCCACTTAACCCTTACACTGCCAGGAAGCAGCTGCTTGCAGGAACTCCTCTACAGAACGTTAGATCGCACACCGTCACGTATGTTGTTCAATGTCATTTGCACCTCAAATAAAAATGCTATTTAAATGGCCGCCGTGCTTTATTATTAAACATCTTCTAAATATTTCAAACTTTATTAGCTACATAAAACCGTACAACAATAGCATTGGACTATAAATGACGCGGCAATTGGCAAGCGCAGTGACGTCATAAGGGGGATGCGGCCCGCATCTGGGTGACACCATTGGAAGGGTGACACTAAAATCACTGACAGTCATTTTGGTGTCACCCTCTCTGAAAACTCGGGCACTCGGCCATGGACCGAAAGCCCGATAGTTGCAGGAGAGAGGAGGGGACCCGGCTGCATACCTTATCCCGCTGGGTGAACGTCCCCTCCTCTCTCTGCTGGCGTCCATCACCAAGATGGCCGCTGACAAGTATCACCAACATGACCGCACATGCGCAATGACGTCATTGTGCACATGCGTGCACGATGATGTCCTGGCGGGGTGTCACCTGGTATCCGCTCCAGGCAACACCCCTTACAACTAGTGATGGGCTCGGGTGTGTTCGCAGCTCCACGTGCCGAGCCCGCCAGGAAGCTGACAGCGCCAATCACAGGCATGGAGACATTTCCCGATCTCTGCAGCTGCGGACCGGGATAATGTCTCAGTACCTGTGATTGGCGCTGTGAGCTTCCTGGCGGGCTCAGCACGTGGCGCTGCGAACACGCCCGAACCCATCACTGGTTACAACTTCATTGCACTAGGGTATGCCCATAGAACTTGTGACATATTAAGAAAAAAAGAAATGCTGCTCCATCGGGTGAATTGGCACTGCCCGGACGCGCAGACACCAGCAGCGGTTAAGCCCTCATTCATACTAAGCGCTTTTTCTGCTAAAAGAAATAAAAATACTCAAAATAACCCCATTGACTATGGCCATGTTCACATCTGAGCGTCATATGAAGCAAAATGCCCAATGATCCCCGCGACGATGGCTTCCTAGATGCGGGTGTGCGTTTTAAAACATCCTTTCCGCGCTTCTGCTCGTGCGTGCGCTGAATTTTAAGGCTTGATACGTTTGGTGTCTATTTACCCGACGTGACCTTGTCTTTTATATTTTACCAAAAAAATTGGGTAATAAATGTTTCATACCATTGTAGCGAAAAGCTTTTTATTTGGTACTTTTTTTCGTTATATAGTAAAAAATAAAAACCCCACCAAAAGAAAGCTCTATGTGTCCCTAAAAAATGGTATAAAATAAATTTCAGTACAGCATTGCATGACGTAATAAATGTCAGTCAAAGTACCTCAGCGCTGATTACTAAAACATGACCTGGACACGAAGGGGGCTAAACACCCTGGTCTTTAAGGGGTTAAAATAGTACACAGCTATTATATAACTCATTATTATTACTTTTTCATCACTGTTGTGACAGAAGTATAAATGAAAGGCTGCTCAATGCCACCTCAGACTATAATGTCGGATGTATACATAAGGCGGGCTCACATTGTTCTGCCTGCGCTGAGCGTATCCTTCCGCCTAAAGAGCAGCAAGGAAAGGGTTACTAACTCACCGAGCCCAGCGCGTGTGAAGAGCAGGAAAAGGATACTAGTCGCTGATTGGTCCCAAGGTGAGAAACCGGATTGGCCAGTTTTGTATCAATAAAGAAGGAGCTGTCAGCGCGGCTCTTATCACGTGATCTTTGCTGGCAGTGGAGAAAAGTTAGGTTGACGTTGAGAAGTTTGTGTGAGGCGCTACACACTGCACATGTTCAGGATGAGGCCTGCAGAGGAGTCGTGTTAGATGGAAGCTGGGTCTTATAAAGAGATTAACAAGTTCAGGTAACCAGTCTATGGAGCTCCTGAAAGGGTAAAAGTCAGATTTTACTTGTCATGTGGCCGCTATGGGGCTTTACAGTAGATGTAAATGGTATGACATTTAGCTCAAGCACTGTGTAACATTTGTCATTTAAAAAAAAAAAATAGTGTGTACATTTTTTGTTTATCCTTTATTAAATCTCAGCACTGCCGATCTCCTGCAGACTTTTTGTAGTCATTTACAGTCTACATTCATGCATTCTAGAATCAGTTGCAGCAGGGTACCTTCCCTGCACAAAGGAGCAAGGAATGTCCCTACTCCCTGCTGCAACAGTTTGGGCCTGGAAGGGAGGGTGTCAGTCATACTTGCGTGGGATTTGGGGGTACTCGGATAAACTGGGTTTGCACCAAGCCCCCACACAACACTACCAGCAACTTCTGCATGTGATTTCTCAGGACAAGTTTTGTGATCGTGACAAAAGTTTAACATGCCAGTGTGGTGGGAATCGGCTTGGCAGGAGCACAATTGGTTAATGGGAACATGGCGTTGTCACTAGGGATCTGTGTCACATCCCCCTCCCAACCTGATCAGTTGTACTTGCCCAAATGCTCCAATACCTGAGCTTCCAGTATCAGGAAGCCGTGCAGCAAGTCATTACACACTGCCTGGCTTTCTGATTCTCTGGGAGGCCGGCTCCATGTTCCCTCGTCACTCGGTGACGAGGGAGCATGGAGTCTGATCCCTGGCCAATCAGGAAGCCGGGAAGCATATAATGACTTGCCGCCTAGCTTCCTGATTGGTCGGGAAGCCGGGCAATCAGGATGCTGGATGGCGATTTCATTACCCGCCGCTGGCTTTCTTATTGGCCAGAAAGCCGGCTTCACGTTCCCATGTGACCTTGTAATGCGGCTTCCCAGCCAATCAGGAAGCTGGGCGCCTTGTAATGACTTGTTGCCCGGCTTCCTGATTGGCCAGTTGCCCAGCTTCGACCAATCAGGAAGCCAGGCAATGAGCCATTACACAGTGCGTTGGCCAGAAAGCTGGCTCCATACTTCCTCGTCACTTGGTGATGAGGAAGCATGGAGGCGGCTTCCATGCTAATCGGGAAGCCAGGTGTCGAGTCATTACACGCCGCCTGGCTTCCTTAATGGGATTTTCGGTATTGGCGAATACCGAAAAAAACCCCAGTATCGTTGTATCCCTAGTATTTAATTACCACTGGGGTTTTTTATTTTTTACTATATATAGAAAAATTTACCAAAAATGTAAAAATTTTGGCTACGTTATGAAATATTTTTTGTTTCCCATTTTTTTGGTAAATATAAAAGACGGGATCACGTCAGTTTTTATTAGAACTGTTGACGGCCTTGTTCACACCAAACGCGTTCCTGGAGCAAAGCATAGCAGTTAGAACGAATCAAAACTGCGTCCAATGTATTCCAATGGTATTTTGGGCTCTAGTTCACACCGCAGCGTTCAGTTCCAGAGCATGTACAAAAACTGCAGCAGGCCCTATTTTACCGGCTCTGGAACGCATGCAAATACATCAAAAATGCATGCAAACGCCCTGGAACGCACTGAAAGCCCATTTAAAAAAAAAATCTAAAATTGTTTTTTAACCAAAAATGGCCCGGAAAGCATCAAGAACGCGGCAAAAACGCGGCACAACCCACTGCAGTGCGTGTGCAGAAACTCATGCAGATCTGGTCTGCATTTGGTGTGAACAAGGCCTTAAACTAATCTGAGTTTGCATATTGTGCACTGCAACATTATACTATTGTTTTAGTACAGGGGTAGGCAACCTTGGCACTCCAGCTGTTGTGGAACTACAAGTCCCATTATTTATTGCAATCTGACAGGCACGCATATGACCCCCAGAAGCATGATGGCATTTGTAGTTTCACCGTAGCTGAAGTGCCAAGGTTGCATGCTGTATATCTGCATGCTATTGCTGCTGCTTTGGTCATCTCATGATTATTTCATTTCCCTGCAGTGTGATTTCTGTTTTTCGGCTAATAATGGCACCGATTATCGGCAATTGTGGCTTAGTTGCCGTCTGAAGTGATGGCGCTCTCCGGTGAACAGAGGGTCCTCCTGGGATTTAAAGATGCAGCGTTAGAACCTGATACGGCTTCCTCATGGGATGTGAGCAAGATAGGTGGGCTGCCGGTGAGTTCAGTTTTTCTATAAAACATTAGAATGAATCGGCTGGTAAAATGAAAGGAGCCACTTCTTGTAATCTGACTTTTAGGCCTCATTCACACCAGAAACGGCCGGCACGTACAGCTCCGTGCTGCGTGCACGGCCATTTTGGGCTGCTCCCGGGAAGGACAGGTGCCGTGTGTGATTTAGTACGCGGCCCCTGTCCTTCTCTATGGGAGTACGCCGCCCTACGCTCACGCGCCCTGCACGTTGGTGCAGGTGAGCGTACTCGTACGCTAAAAGGATGGATCCTGTCTGCGTCCGAGCCGGGACACCGGCACGCACCTGCACTTGAGGTGGTGTATGGCCACGTAGTCCCATAGAGTTGGACAGGGGCTGTGTACTAATCACACGCAGCACCTTTTCTCGTGTGAATGAGGCCTTACCCTTTTAGGAGCCACTTGGCTGATGTTTGTAAAATATGACATTTGCCATCTGTATTTTTGGCGCCTACTACTTCTACAAGTGGCAATGAGTGCGCCAGTTCTGTTACTATTTAAAATAGTGTTAAACTCTTAAACTGTTTTTCAATAATGAATCCAGATGAAAAAATACTTACTGCCCAGCAAAGTATTTCTTTACATTTTTGTCCAAGCAGTTCGTTATGTTTTACAAACAGCTCCAACTCTTTCTGCTCGACTACCCTGACCTTCCTGTCCAGTACAAGATCACAAGGGACAAAATCATCTCCAGAAGCTGTCCATCTACTAGCTTGGAGAAGGGGGGGGCAAGAGGAGCAGGGGGTAGGGGAATGTGTTGCCTTGCTGCGCCTGTGTGTTTGCGAAGAGAGACACAGCTTACTAGCACACACAAGGGAGGCACCATAGGAACTTAGGATATCAGAGCCAGTGCTCAGGGGAGCAGCTGATTCTGCAGGAAACTAAAACTGTTATACATTAAGGAGAAGCTTCATTGTGCGTGATTTAGTCAGCATTATTCGGGTCAATACTTTTTCCCAGTTTTTTTTGCTAAAATTAGGTACCTCGGCTTATATTCGGGACGTCTTATACTTGAGTATATACGGTAGCTAGATTTATCAGAAGTCAAGGTTTTCAAGCAAAGTATTTTATTTTAGCTTTGGGGAAGCAATACAAGGATTAAATCTTTGCCGAGCAAGGAATAAAGAACAACTCTGGGAAAAGTTTTTATGAAACCTTGCAGTGATGCTACCCCTGCACTGCAAGTGCTAAGTACTTGTTTTAGTCTAGGGACTAAAATGAAAAAGACATACTCGCATGAACTCCCTCCCGCCTCTCTGCTCCTACTCTGCAGCAATGGTATGTCCCTGGCATCCTCACGTTCAATACACAGGGACCTCGAGGATCTTTTGACCACTGCAGTGGTCCAGTCTAAGAGCAAGCCGTCTCTGAGAATCAGGCGAGCATACATTTTAAATTTTTTGATAGTCCCTACCTAGACCGAAACGAGCAGTTAACCCTTGCAGTGTGGGGGTAGCACCAGTACAAGGGTTAATAAAAATGTTGCTCAGCCTTCTGCTTTGCATCTCATTGGAATTAAATGCACCATGTGCCAAAGTTAAGTCCTAAGTATCATCATGCACTAAAATAGTCCACCAAAAATCACAAAGGTGATCCATTGCCTTTAAACAAAGCTGCCACCTTCATTGGGGGCTGCAACAACCAACTGCTGCGGAGGGTTGCTGTTGGCAAATAGGAGCACATACCCAATAATCCAAAATTCAGTTTTAACAAGAAATACTGCAAGCCCGATAAAAAGGGCAACTTAGAGGTGAAAACGTGTTGGATAACTTTTATGTGTTTTTAGTTCACAAAAAAAAAGATATTTTGGCCTCCAATCTTGGCGTGTGGTGCTCCTATGTTTGGCGTGTGAGTCTCTTTTGCATAAGAGAGCTGTCTGCGCAGTGTAAACACACTACTGTGTCTGTCTGTCCACGACCGTGGAAAGAAATCCATTTTAGGTTAGTTGAATGGTACTGAATCTCCAAACTCTACTGTCCCTTACCTTGGTCATGTCATTCAAGGTTCATGTGGGCCACTGCAGTTGACAAAGTAGACCTTCCGGCTTCATTCTGAATTACTGACTTGGAGCAAGTACTAGTCAGGAAAGTCGGAAGGTAACAGCTGCATACTATTTCCAGGATGACTCAAGTACTGAAGGAAGAGGGTCAGAATGACGGTCCGGCAACAAGCAGTTCTAAAAGGCAAGGTCGGCAGTGGTAGCCTCCATGTTTCCCTCATGACCGGTTTCTTTTAACAGGGAGTATGGATGTTCTTCTGTGAAAGGGGTTGGCAAACTTCAGCCCTCCAGCTGTGGTGAAATTTTAAATCCCGTCATGCACCTGCCTCTGGGAGTCATGCCTGTGACTGTCAGTCTTGCAATGCTTAATGGGATTTGTAGTTTCACCACAGCTGGAGAGTCGAACATATCCTATTTCTACTGTATAGCTATCTTGAGAAGATGGATGCAATGGTCAAATGTGGACATCTCCTTTTAACCTAAAATCCATCTAAACTTTTTTGGGGATAAAGCATTAAAGCCCCTGACAGCTCTTGCCATCTCAAAATTTCCACTTTACTCTGTTGTAGCTATAAAAAAAAGAAAATACGTCTTGACTTCAGATCTACTTAAGTTTGTAAAACTGTCAGCCTTCATACATTGTTCCGGTTGAAGGTACATTGTTTCCTGTCCAAAAAATGTCTGGGAAAACTATTATTTAGTAAAAGGGATTAAATAACGTATTTATTATGACGTTTGCCATTTTTTTTTTCTTTGATAGGATCCACCTCCACAGGTGACCCTCTGTTTTCCTGCTTGTCCTCTGTGCTCTGGATCCCTGTGCCATGTTGTGCAGGTATATTGTCCCCTGGAGGGCTCTCATTTCCATCGTGTCATCCATGTGTTTGCATGCAGAAGGAAGTCCTGCTGGGGAAAACCTGAAAGGTAATACTCTTTGAAAACGAATTTCTGTAAGTGGGACAATTAAACCTTTAAAAGCAAGCTGTCCTCCCTGCCGTATTCATTTTTGTAAAACTTCTTTACCATCTTGATTTTTGTAGTGTGTTTCCAAATTTTTTTGTAGTGTTTTTACATATTAGGATTTTTACATATTAGGGTTTTAATAATTTTTTTTGGTAGTGTTTTTTATGTTTTTGTCCAGAAATGTGTAGATAAACTTGAGTTTTATTGGCAGTGTAAAAGTTTTTTTTTTTTTTTTTGTGGCATGTCAATTTATGGCTGAATAGAATTAAACAATCTGTAATGGGCACGGACATATTTTCAAGTGTCAGGTGCTAGAATGCTCGTTAGCTGCATTTTAATTGTGAAGAAGAAAAGCAAAATAAATAATTAGTTATACACTCAGCACACTCTGCTTTATGTTAAAGTGTAAATCCAGCAAAAACGCATGCCTCAGTTTTGAGTGAATGCTGGTCGGTTACACAGAGCAGGACATGAGTGCTCATCTCTTAGTCACTGCACTGCCCAGCTACAAATATACAAGTATTTTATGTTCTATATATGTGAATGTGATCACCTTGAAAACAATTCAGTATCATGATGGTAATGTTCACTACAAATGCTGGCTGATTTTCATAGAATTTCTGATCTTTTTGAATTAAAAACTTTACATGATGGTCTACATTGGCACCTTTTTTATATTCTGTGCTTACAATGTAGATAACAAGGCACATGAACGGGCTTTGTTCTACCGATGAAAAGGGGTACCCTCTTATATGGGTCTCCATTTAGACAAATGGAAGAGTTCTCCCCATTGTGTGCAAATGAAACAGTTGTCACTTTTTTTATCTCCTATGGTGCATCTCCTGGGACCTCTGTGTTGTATTATTTGTAAAATACAAAAGGTCAAGCAATATATAACAATTTTTTTTTTTTCTCTTGCCCTCTCTTTCTCTCACACTGTTTCTCGTCCTCTTTTTCTCTCTCTCCTTCTCTATGGCTTGTGTCCCCCCTCGCTTTCTCCCGTGGTCCCTCTCTTTTCCTTGCGCTCTCTTGCTTCATCTTGCACTACCTCACTTTCTCTTGTGCTTCCTCTCTTTTTCTTGCCCTCCCTCACTTTCGTTTGCACTCCCTTGCTTTCTCTCATGCTTCCTCTCCTTTTTTTCATGCCTTCTTTCGTTTCCTCTTGCGCTTCCTCGCTTTATCTCACGCTCCCTCTCTTGCTTCCTCCTTTTTCTCACACTCCATCTTGTTTTCTTGCTCCCTCTATCTCTTACCTTGTCTCTCTCTTGTTCTTGCCCTATCTCATGCTCTCGCTCTTTTTTTCACGCTCTTTTTTCCACGCTCTCTTTTTTTTTCCACGCTCTCTTTTTTTTTCCACGCTCTCTTTTTTTTTCACGCTCTCTTTTTTCACGCTCTCTTTTTTTTGTGCTGTTATTTTTCTATCTCTCATCTCTCTATCTTGCGAGTAGCTGGGTGGCATTACGATCCCAGAGCCTTGAAGGACATAAGCCACAAATCACAGAGGCCTCTTCACAGCAGGTATTCAGGAGCTCTTTTTTCTTTACCGTTGTGTTATATGTTTTATGCTGTATGGCTTCTACAGTTACAGCTGGTTTTCTCTATTCAGGAAAACAAGATGGCCACTACAGAATGGTGTGACGATGCTGATAACTGGGGAATGGATGACAATGATGCTGAATCTCTGATAATGGCACCTGCAGTATCACATAGCACAAGCTGCCCTGCAGAAATCCCAACCACAGACTGGACATCTCAGCTCCAGAACCTTTCACTTACTGATGCGTCTGAGACCGTACAGTCTAGTGACTCCGGTGACATCTTTCGGTGTTATTATATAGCAGTGGTAGACGAGAAAGAGTGTGAATGGGACACGGATCTTGATCACGCTCGCCGGCTTCTACAGGAATATGAGCGGCGAGAGGCATCCTCTGTGGAAGAGTTAGAGAGGTGAACATACATTTTTGAACATTTAAACTTCAAAATCTCCTGAATATGTATACTTTAAAAAAACTTTAAAAAAAGTTTTTATAAATTATTTTTTATTATTTATTTTTAAAGTTTAGGATAGCGAAGGGAACAGTTACAATTCCTAATGGTTTTTTTTATGCTGCCTTTTTCCTGTTTGGGCGATTTCTCTTCATTCCTGTCTTGTACACATAACAGAAAGTGAGTGGAAATTTTGATTTAGACAGTTGTTACCAGAACGGGTGTCCCCATTGGAAAATGTTTTGCCTCTCCTGCTGTTCCAGTGACAGTTGTAAAATCTTTGGTTTTCCATCACTTTCTACGGTTTTGCCATCAGGACAAATTGAGAGGCTAAGCATATCATCTATAGCATCTTGATGGGTTCTTTTTTTTTTTTCCGAAGCCCGTGGACATGCATAAAAAGTTCCCCCTGTGAACAAAAAAAGTGCAACCGTGAAAACACAGCACACAAAAACGTGCACAAGGATGCAAGGTCCTTCGAAAGAAGGGACCTACAATTCAGTGTAATATACTGTGGGCGGGGGTAAGCTCTGTGCTGAGAAACCGTCCCGACAATCTTGTGGGAATCCTCCTCTCCTATTGAGTGACAGCAGCTTGTGGGAGCTTCTGCGCATTCATAAGAACCTGTTTGGAACATTACTCTAGGTTGGTCATGGGTGGAATGGAGGTATGCTTATCAAAGTGTGCTTCTCATACTGTCCCTTGTTACATATCCTTGTTTGGCATAGGAGTCTCTATGTTCATGGACTTTCTATACCCTAAGTAGACCATACTACATAGTTATTGATAAATGTGTTTTGATCTGGCAGTCTGACTGAGTTTGGCTAACTTATGTGAGTCCAAATTGTCTGTGAAGGTGCCCAATGATTTCAGAGGGTAGTTTTACATGCAGGCACCATCTAGCACTCACCTTAATTTGACAGCTCAGCTCAGATCAAGCATTATGTTCATTGGTATGGAGTGGGAAGCTGATGAGGGTTTATAACTGGCAGAATGAACAGGTTTTCGAACATGCCCATTTGAGTTTTCTTCCCAAATGAGATCATGTATAGGGCCCACAGCAATGAGATTGTTGTCAGTCCAACAGAAAGCCGCTAGATTGGATGACTAACTTCAATGGTTAGCTTACATTTAGGTTTCTTCCTGCAGGTAATGCTTACATTTGGTACTCCTCAGGTAGAGTAGAGCTGACAGAAGAGATCAGACCTTGTCAAGTCAGAAGTTCACTAGGGCTGCAACAGCTAATTGTATTAAATCGATAATAATCGATTGAGAATAGTTGACAACTATTCGAGAGTTTTTTTTTGTTGTTGTTTTTTTTATGCAACCAATCAATTACCGTATGTTGCGCTCTATAAGACGCTCCGAACGATAGGACGCAGGGATTCTGTGACAGAAATTCTGTCACAGAAGCTGCAGTTAGTGACCACTGAGACAGGTGGCGCTGTGATTACAGCGCCACAGTCTCGGTAATCACACAGAGCAGACTAAGAACGACGTTCTTCGTCTGCTCAAGGGGCTCTATGGTGAGCTCCTATGTCACGGTCCCCTAGAGGAGCGGGGGACCCCAAAAACCACGACGGGGGGCGGACACGATCGCCGCCGCTCGATTTTAATACAAGTGATCTAATTAGATCACTTGTATTAAACGAGCGGCGGCTCCTACTGTACACCCAGCTCTGCTTGTCAGGAGCAGGGCTAAATGTACAAAACAAAACTACTCGCCCGGTGCCCAAAACTCCCGGGCGTCGGGTGATAGATATTTGCTCCATAAGACGCAGGGACATTTTCCCCCTCCTTTTGGGGGGGGGGGAGTGCGTCTTATGGAGCAAAAAATAATCAGCCAACTAATCGATTTTATGAAAATAATTGTTGGCTGCAGCCCTAAAGTTCAACTTTTGAAGGACATTAACATGATATCAGGAAAATTCTCACAGATGGTGAACTTATTCCATCTAATTCAAAAACCTGCTTTAGAGCCCATTCACACCAGGGCGGTTGCGGATCAGCACGGTTACTACGCTGATCTCGCAATTGGAGGTTTTGGGAGTTTTTAATTGTGTTTTTATTTTAGCGCTAAAACACTATTAAAACCCCCCAGAACCGCACTGATGAGTGCGGTTCCATTAAAACCTGTATGGAAACCACACTGATCAGCGCGGCAAAACGGCCGAACTGCTCCGGTGTGAACGGGGTCTCATGTCGGCAATGAGCAGCAGTCCAGGAAACTTGACTAAATCCATTGATTGTGATTGACAGCGTATGGTTTCTAGCACACTGCATGATATGTAAAAATGGGATTCAGTTTTGTTCAGTTCTGATATTCTGTCCCCTGTCCATCGCTTTAAGCAGTTTTCGTTATGTTCAAATATTCTGCAGTTTTGTGGCAGTGTTATCATTGGATACACAAACTGTATTTTGACATCATTATCTCGTATAGCAGTTCTTAAAAAAATGTGTTTATTCTCATTCTGCAGCTGTGAGCTGAAAGGCCAGGGTGAGAAATATGAGAAGAGTGACCTGAAGAGTCGGGACCTCATGTTTTACAAGTTCCTTAGGAAGATCGCGCCTTGTCAACAACAGATTCTCAGGTGATTCACCTTTTGGAGCAGCCAGAAATGCTTGTATCACATAGCCTTAGACTGGGATAGTGTTCATCCACATGACGTTACAGTACACCATGATGACCATCAAATAAAGAGTACAACACAAGAAACCTTTTATAACGTCACCTTTCTAGTTGGGCCAGGACTTGTGGAAAGAACACAAAGGGGGAGAGGGAGGAAAATTGCAGTTGTGGAGTCAAATAGTTTAAATAACCAAAACATTAAGAATTACACTTATGCAGAATACACCTTTTTAAATCAGTAAAACAGATGGACATAGTAGGTGGTCAGCAGTGGTAAATGTGAAATATGTATAATCTGCGCTTATGGATAAATACGGATGCTTAAATTAAATAAATAGATGGAGATATATATATATATATATATATACACATACACACACAGTCACTTTATTTGGATACCTCCAAATGTGGATTGCAGCATAGTCCTTATATTTAAGGCAGAGTCCAATCCAGCTTGAGAAGATGCAATGCTGGAGCAGCAGCAGATGAATGCACTTCTTGAGGAGACCATCTGGAATGCGTCACTTATAAAGTAAAACAGACCTGTCTATTCTATCTCTTGGTCCCTGTTCTAATTCTAGGCTATCAATACAACCGGGCCTCTAACTGTCTAAGCGGCCATCGGATGCCTAACCTACCTCTACCCTATAATGTTTACTGTTCCCTAAGCTAACACTAGCTAAGGAATTCCAAACCAAAAAAGGGTGCTATTCCTTTAAATAATAAAACTGCAAGTGTTCACTGCAACAACAGAAGATTCACCTGATAAGACCTAGTCAGGTGAATTTAACTCTTATACAGCTGAGAAATCACAATTATCTTGCAGTATGCAAATAGCTCAAT